CTGACATTTCCCCACTGTGGGACAAATTAAGGAACTCTTCATCATAATCCAACACCAAAGAGCAGCACAAAGGAGGTGTATTGTTTTCCTTCTTCCTGGAGAGTGTGGCTTGGAGTGTGAACGCTCATGTGTGCTTGTGTGTCAATGGAGCCACATATTGCAGCGGCCCCCAACCTTTCACATCATTAGCATCTCCTGACCCTATGAGGTGTGTCTTCAATCTGTTCATCAGTAAATGGTATTATGCATTTTATTTGAATACTATTTCTTTATACCAGAATTGTCATGAAGAAATATTAAATATAATTTCCAACAAAGAACCTTTTTATTCAAACATACCTTTCATTCCAATTTCTCAATTTATATTTCAGTGTGAAAAACTTAGGATGTCAGTGGCTCAGTTGGTAGAGCATTGGCCTTTGAGCCTGAAGGTTGTGGGTTAGACCCCAGCACAAGACTTTCTCCACCGACTCCCACTGATGTCTGCTGTTGTTGTGTCCTTGGCAAGACACTTAACCTCTGGGAACACCAGGTGCCACAGTGGGGCGGCTGCGGCGGCTGTAAAGTGCCAGAATGTTGTTGTGTCCTTGGGCAAGACACTTCACCCCCATTGTCTAGAATGAGTCTGGTGTGTGTGAATGGTTGGTGGTGGTCAGAGGGGCCGATGGCACATACTGGTTGCCTCGCTTCTGTCAGTGTGCCCCAGGGCAGCTGTGGCTACTGTAGCAGTTTATCACCACCGTGTACGGAGTTTCCAAAAAAGCGCTATATAAAACCAATGCATTATTATTGCTGTTATTATTTTAATGTCTCCCATCACAGTACTTACCAAGCCCTTCCCTACACGGCTTCATAGGTCTGAAGGGATCTGGCTTTCACAAGCAGGTATGGCCACTATCATCAATTATCACAAGCAAATTATACACCAGGTTGAGAATCATCTTTACTAGATAGAAAGAGTGACATATTGGACTTTAGCTAAAAGTCCTCCCCAACGATCAGACAATAGTCAATAAAGGTTGTGTAGAAGTTTTATACAGTCTACACTTTCAGTTTGCTGAGTTCGGAAAGGTCTGTCAAAGTTCAACTACCGCCATAACTCTCTCCTGTAATTGGGGTTTGGACCTGTTGTTGCATCCACCTCAGTGTGAAAGTTCAGCTCTGAGTCACTGAGAAAAGACAATGTTTTTGGTAAAAAGAGGAACATGCAATCTCATATCGTGACCAATTTACCACCCACATTGTCTCGGCCTGACTGATTGCAGTGCATTTGTTTACCATATAAAACCTACATTCATCCGTTCGATCATCATTCCAAGAAACAAGCCAAGACTTTTATGTAAGTACTATTTATTGTTAATTATTTCACTCATAAATAGAAATTAAATCCACCGTACATCCCCTATTAGTGTGGCATACAAAAATATATTCAAGCTAAAGCCAAATGATCAGTTTTGCAGTTGGCCTCTAAAACACACACACATGCACCAAATTAGCAGATTTGTCTTGGTAAATGGCACGTTGTCGTCTGTGGATAATGGAGAAAGGATGTTGTCCTGACCCCTGTTTGAAGGATGAGAAAAACAGTTTGGAAATGCACAAGCTCATGCAGCACGAGGGACAGTTTTCATATCGTGTCTTCATAGGTATACATTATTGAAATTAGAAAATGAGTTGAACAATAAGCCTATGATATGAAAGTCTCTGGATCCTGGAATATTAAAGTACCAGTTTAAACATTTAGAATTTTTGTGAAATATAGTTGGTCTGGGAATGCCTCGGGATTGGCCCGAATGAGCAAGAGGAAGTGTGTGGATATACTGTATAAGGAAGTCTGGGTGTCTCTGCTCAGACTGCTGCCCCGTGAACCAGCAATGGATAAAAGGGTAAGAACATTTAATGCAAAGTTAATGCCAACAGTATTTTATGCTTTATTAGTAGGGCTGTCAAACGATTACATTTTTTTAGTTGATTAATCGCATTGTAATGGTGAGTTAACTCACAATTAATTTCAAATAGAGATTATCAAATATAATGACACATTGTCACTCATACCAAATGTACTTAAATCTGTTAGATTTGCTCACAACCTTTTACTTTGGGCACAACCAAAATTGATGAAAAGGGGGAAATTTACGTACCCCAGCTTTAATTCAGCGAGTTTAGTTTAGTTTAGTTTCAGGAGGAGACACGGACACTTCCGTGGTGTATTTGCGCGTACAGGTTACGCACAGGTTTAAAGACAAGCACACAACATGCAGTAGCTCTGTGCATGTATGGTCTAACCGCGCTCTGGTTCGCTAACAACAACCAGAGCGGCCGCAGCTGCCCCCCGGGGTGTGCCCCGGGAGGCGGACTTCAGTTCACAGCAAACAAAGCCCCGAGGTCACGCGTGTATTCTTTTAAAACTTGAATTCCCAGAGGGCCTTCCTGCTCTGCTGTCATCTCACAAACGCATGAGTCCGCTGCATTCTGAGTGATATTATGGATAGGGTCATTCGGACATGCGTTAATACGTTAATTTTCTTTTAACGCGTTAATGAAAAATTTAATTAACGTGAGAAAGTATAAAGTTTATACCCTTTTTACTTACTTCATGCTTCTTCATCGTGTTTAAGTAGCAATATGTAAGATTTGTGTCAAGTTAAATGGCCCTAATCGTTAATAAATCATACTCTTTTCCAATCCTTTTTAACTGATAACAGTATTTCAGCCGAGATATTTTGATTTCAAAATTAGTTCTCCTGCCCGTAAATCTTGTTGTTTTTATTTTGATGTCCCGCCCTCCACCGCCTGAAATCTCTGTGGTGGTGGTTATTACATGGCCATAGCCTCCGTTGCGTGTTCAAACTCTTGATATTTGGATTTTACAAAACTCCAATGGGGATTTTCAATGTGCATTTTACTTCTGGAACTTCCTGCTCCATATGCACAGTTCTGAATCTACAATATTGTGTAACAGAGTTGGAAAAAGTACATTATAGGAGATTACTGTTTTGTCCACTAATGTACACAAAGTAAGCATTGAATCATAAAAAATTAAGTTTTGACTTTCCAGGTAAAAAGCAAATGGTAAATAGCCTAGAAAATAAAAAATAAAAAAATTGTAGGAAACCTGTACCCTCTAGGTTATCTGCTCTATTACCTGTTTTACAGATATTACCTCTACACTTCCATCGAATTTATATAATTGTATATATATATATAATATAATAGTAAATATGTGTTCTTTTCACTTTTTTCTGTGTGCATTGTATTCCTGATGTAAATACACCAGTGCATGTTTAGAGGAGGGCCTAATGAAGCCCCTCCCTATTTAAATCACATGGTCACTGGTGCTACCATTTGCACCCTGAAGAAGGCCAGGCTGGGCTGAAACGCGTTGGTGCGTATTTTAATCCACAGCAATGAGAAAATAAAGGCTTTTTAAAAATGTTCTAAACCACTGACCATGAGTGCCTTGGAATTTTTTTTAGATTTTTATTTTTTTTATTTTTTAAGCTATTCACCATTTGCTTTTTACCTGGAAAGTCAAAACAAAATTTTTTGGTTACTAAGTTAAACCCCTCTTCCAATTGAGCACCTGGTCTTTTCTACACACTTGTACCACGCAGCACTCCTTACCCTTTGCTTTTTGAGAAACATTAAATCCTATTGGAGGTCATATTGACTTAGAACAATGTTTGAGTTAAATTGAAAATGGCCTGATTTTTTATACATAGCTTATTCACTCACATTTTAAAATGGCTCAAACTTCACACGTCAGCACTTGTACATTTGGGCCATAGAAACCATACAGATTCTACACATTTAAATACAGATATATAAAGCATATGATTGGTTACTAAGACTGGGATGAGACAAGACGAGATACTATATTTTGTCGATAATTCATTGTGCATTACCTTTTAGTAATGCATGACACCAAAGTGTTTGATCTGCTTATACCATGGTCACACGTTCCAAACATATAACATATTTATTTTGTCCACTACTCATTCACCACTCATGACCGGGGAAAATGAGAATTATACAAAATGATGACAATTAAATAACAATTAATTAATATTAATCCACATCTGCACATTTTTCTCTCAATCGCCAAACAGACCACACTCAGATGTTGTTTCTATGGCAACGCATCAGCGTAGTTCTACAGCAGAGTTAGGTTTTAAAGATTCTCGACCAGAGTGACGTGCCATGTCAAAGTGCCTCAAGATATTGTGTGTTCCTTTGGAAATAAGAGAAAATGTACTTTATTAATCTCACACAGGAGAAATGTACATGTTACAATTTACAGAAATGTTCCAATATCACTTCGTTGGTCAAAAATAAACCTTATTGTTGATGAAAATAATAGTTGTTTGTTTGACTATTCAATACTTTGATGAAACTTTTAAATTGGGATCTTTAATATTGAGGATTTATTTGGTTAGGAGAGTGAGTATTAATGAACACCAGATGCTGTAAATGCACCTGTTGTTCCACAGACGCACAAACACTCGCTCACTCACCCAGAGTAAAGCTGCAGCTTCATGTTTGTTTCAGTTTCAGCTGGTGGACTGCCACGGGATGTTTTACAATGAAAAGATGCCAGCGCTCAAAAGGTTTGGGGAATACAGTTCTAGAACAGTATTCAGTAAATTATTCACAAAAACCTTTAACCATAAGAAGTCTCACTGACCATGGTACATACATCATCATTAAAACACAGAGATTTAGGGCGTGTCGCTTCACTTCTGCTGCCACTGATCTGAGGAGGTCCAGCTGTGAACACAGCTTCAGCCTTATAACTTTATGATTCCTTTGATTTTAGATTTGGGTTGCCTTATTGAACCTCTGAATTTCCTAAACTTGCTCGTGCATCTGTTCAGTTGGATCTTTTGTCTTGTCTCATCCCTTCAGATTACGTTTCCATGGAACCGTCTTTGTCAGTGAATACATTACAGAAATCTTCCTACATTTACACAGACATGTACAAGGAGCACAGGAGGCCGTGCTCAGGTGTGAGGCTTCAGAGCCTGCCGGTTCCGTTTCTCCCAGAATGCTTTGCGACGGCCCTGGTGGTGTGACGAGCTTGTTCTTTTATCCACACTGATGTCGTCTCTGTAACAGGAGATAATCATGTTAAGGACAAGGCCAAGAGGGAAACATTACCTACAACAATGTGTCTAATTAATTATTCCTGCAGTAGTATTCCTTGTTTCCATGGAGATGTTTGTGCAATTTATTTAATTGTTTTTGGTTCAGTTTTGGATAAATCTAAACATTAAACCCATTGTGTTTTCACAATAACAAGAAAATAATTATAAAACTCATTACACATCAAAGTAATATCAAAATATCATACTACCCTTTGGCCCCTGCTTCCTACTTTTTTAAATTCGGCCCCAGACCAAAATGAGACACGTCAAGGAGGACGCCGGGAGTCTCATTTACAAAGCGTCTGTATGAGGCTTTCTGTGTCCAGGTACAGTAGGTACTGTATACAAATGTTGAATGTGAAATATGTGAATATTTCTCCACATCCATGCCCAACACAAATGAGGCCCCTGATCTGTGGAGAAACCCCCCTACTAAATTTTAAAACCTAACCCTATCCTGCATTATATAACAAAAATATATACCGATGAGGAAGACAATTTCAGGGAAATCAATCCATTACACCTTCATGGCGAAACAAAATGTACCAAGATTTGTTCCAGCTTTTCTGAACTCAAGCAAAAACATAGACGTTGTTGACTCTAGTTTTAGCCTTTATGTGTCCGATCACCACACGTGGCCATTACGCACAATAACACTCATCCATCACTTACTCCGCGGTGGGTTTGAGGGAGCAGAAGTTCTCACACTCTCGGTCCGGTTTGTGTGCGCAGAGACAGCGACTCAGCTCCCGTCGCAGGCGCACTGAGCCAAAACCGTACGGGACCAGTTGGCTGAAACAGACAGAGGACCAGTATGAGCCATCCATCACCTCACGGCTCTGACCTGGTCACTTTTTCAGACAGTTATGCAAACAATTTCAGGCACATTTTTGACTAATAACAGTGAATTAATAGTTTACAGACAAAAACCATGCATCACAAAGCATCAATGTAAACAAGTACCAATGCTTGAATCTTTCACAGTTTTGAATGATTTGCTTTGAAGCTGAAGTGTCCAACTTTCTTTATTTTATTTGTCCAACCACCAAGAGTGTTGTTTAATTCACTTTTGGGAAAAAACATTTCTGGATTTAAAAAGATAAGCGTTACATACTGAGAGCTGATTGGCTGAGTGAGGTGAGAAACCAGTTATATATACCAGTTAATGATTGATAAAAAACAAAATGCCACTCGATAAAGGTGTAAAAAGAATATATTCCCATTCAATATTCAATTTCAATATTTACATTGTTTTCTGGAACATAATAGTTTATTTTTTATTTTTATATTTTTATTGCAGATAATTCATGCTGTGCTGGATGTACAAAATAAAGGGTTCTAAGACCAAAGCACCACAAGAATTGATTTGAATTCTTGTAATATGCCTGCAGTTCAGACCAATATTGCCATGCTCGAATTTGATTAAGGAAAGGTTTTTTGTATAGCACAGTCCATACACAATTCAACTCAAAATGCTTAAAAAAACAATTCAACATCGACATTAAAATCCTAATCACAATGCATTCAAAAAACTTTTCTTTTGGCCAAACCAAAAGCACAAGTCGCACATAGTGAAACAGAATATTTTCTGAAATGCGTGACTGCAAAAACACAGGTCAGTAAATGTCCTTCTGACCCCAGGACAACCTCCCGCTGACACAACATGTTCCCACCTCTCTGCAGGGAACATCCCATGTGTATATAGGCCTATTTGAAACGCATCAACCAACTTAAGCAAGCACACTCCCACAGCCAGCCACAGACGAAGGACCACACTGAGGGGTGGGATAATTAGCAAATAGACTGAGAGAGCTTGGCCCCTGGGTAATCACAGTTCACAGCAGAGAGCAGATGGAGAAGTCAAAGCTGAAGACAAATCATTTTAAGAGTAGTCATTTTGCCTCCATGGCATCTCTAGCCTTCTCCACACAAATTGAATGTATAGAATAGTTTATCACATAATGAGCTAATAATGCATGCAGTTTAACCCTTTAATATTCACTCCTTGAAGAAAGCAATGTATTTTTTTTTCTGTATAGGAGCACTAATAACACATTTGGTTTTTACCTATTCTTGTTTTTATTAATCTAATGAAGCAGTTTGACCATAAAAGTGCCTAAAACCAAGTGAGATGACCCAAAGAAGAATATTTCAGTTCCAACCATGCTTAAAGTAGTTACCAAATGGTTGAGGAAACTGTAGGGTTAATGGTTTGAATGTGTTTGACGGCAGCATGTCCAAAGTAGCTCTGAAACAGGTTTTGTTTGTGCTCTACAATTGTTTTTTGTTGTTGTTGTTTGTTTTTCTCATTCTTTGCATCTTTTAATTGAATCCTACACAATGTTCAGGGTTTCACACTGAACCACAGAAAAGTGACCCAGACCCGGCATAGGCCCAGAATCCACCAGAAAATAAAGTTTTGAGGAAGTTTGTCACAAAGTTCTACTGCAGGAGTTCCCTGGCCGACAGATCAGGACAATACTTCCAGTCTCCCCCTCCATCTGATGACACCTGAGCACCATGATTCCAAGAGGGTGACCATCCTGTCTAAGGACATCCAGCTCACCAGATCCTCAGAGGACCTCATCACAAGCTGTAGACTTTTCTCCCTGCCTGATACAATTTAAGTTTTTAGATTTTACTATTCATGATTTTATGAAAATTTCTCTTGCCTATTCTGTCTGTATCAGCTTCTGATAGTCACCTGAATTTCCCCTTGTGGAATGAATAAAATATCTACCTTTTACCTTTTGTAGCCACGATCCCCATAACAACACATACAACTATACATAATCCTACTCCTACTATATTCTGCATATAGATGCATTTAACATTTTGTTACTGTGCATATTTGTCAAAAGTCTGTGTACAAACTATTGTGAAACACCTGAGTGAGGCACCTTGCACTGCCCCTGCTGCTGTCTGGGATGAGGCAGCTGGCTGTTCTGTGCTTCCCGCTGACTGTCTGGAGCATTAGTTGCTTTTCTCTGAAGCCAAAGATCCTTTTTTATTGCACTAAACTAAGCGCTTGTAATGGATTCAGCAGTGCAGCAGGTTTGTTTGCTAGTAGCCCCAAGTGTGCCAACATATTTTATTTTATTTATTCCCACAGTTGGGTCACACACCAGAAACACTCCAGTGGTCACAGGGGACTGGGGTCCCAGGTGCTGCCCTGGAGTAACCACTGCTCCTGAGAGTTTGCTCTTCAGACATTTTAGGATGAATAAGAATAGAGTACAGATTTCCCTATGGGCACAATAAAGTATACAGTATTTTGAACATAAATCAATTTAACAACAAACATGAACTGATAAAATACAGCATTAAATTTTTTTTTTTTTATTTTGTACACAATCTGGCGACCACACTGCTCTAGTTAAATCAGAGGGAACTATTTCAGAGGTGAGAAGCCTTCAGTGTTGGGTAGAATACTTTGAAAATGGATTTTGTTCCAGATTACTGAATACATTACTGAATACATGTATTCAATAATGTATTTTTATGCTGTTCAGTTATTTTATAAAAAGCAGTACTTGTTTTCCGAATACCTAGAATAGAACCAGACAAAATAGATTCTTCTTAGAATACCCAAGGCTTTTTTTCTTTAAAAAAACGTAATGTGAGAAAGTCTGTATTCTTGTGGTTTTCCAAAAAAAAACAAAAAACACTGTATTCTAAATACTAGACTTTAAAGTAGCAACTGTAAGGGAACATAGTTACTCAGAAGGAGTTTTCTGAATATGTAATGGGA